ATTAGTTACATTACATCATTAGTTGTGCTGTTTGCCAATTATTGACGTCTATATGCACCATTTATACCGATTATTAATACAACCTGAAAAGAGATAAAAACAGCGTACAAAACACCTATATTGTAACGAAATACGAAAATGAAAGAAGTTAATAACAATAATTTAGTTTCAGCTGACCTTTGTTGCAACATAACGGCAATCCGGAGCTTCTTTTAGTAATTTTGTGACATTGTCAGCCGAAAATACTTTAGACTTTTTACTCACATGGCCATCTGAGCGTCTTTTCAAAAATGCCAGCAACTTTGAGTAAAACTTTATATCAATACCATGTTTTGTCTTTATTGTGCTTTTTAACATTGAATAATAGCACCACAATGAGCTTGACTTATATTTTTGCGAAAGTTCCATGAAATACGCTAAAAACACACTTTCTGAAAATGAATTAGCATTTTTTCTTGTTTTCCATGAAATGAAATTTTGATACGCTTGTAAGTATCTATCCGTCGATTTTTCAGGCAAGAGGCTTAGCATAGCCTTTTTCGCCCCTTCTGAGACTTCCGGCGGTGTCAAATTAATAAATTCATCACTACTTGACGAAATTTAAACGTAAAAACAATACAGCGAAAAGAAAAAGCGTGCGGAATAATTTTAACTTTTTCACAAATTAATGATGTGCGCGCATCCGCGCTTTTTTAGGCAAAGGAACATAAAACAGCCAGTCTTACTAATAAAGTAAATTAATATTTTTGTGCATTTGTTACCGATACATGGTTATAATTTATTGTCAAAATGAACCAAATTAAAGAATTAAAAGTTTTTATTTATTATATTTTTTCTCCCAAAGTTAATTTTATTAAGAAAATGTTGGCTACCTTTCTGACATAAAAACTCTTTGACTAAGATTTAAAAAAAGTATCGCACGCGTGTAATGTGATAGATTATGATATTGAAATTGGTGCAATAAGAGACGCTTTAGGAGCAAATGTGTTATAAAATAACATTTAATTTTTTAATTGTGAACTTTTTATTAAAATTTTAATAGCAGCTTAGTACAGGCAGCTAAAAGACAAGGAAAAGTATTTGTGTTTCTTACAGTAATTGAATACGAATGTTGCCCTAATTATGCCGTATTGATAATGGACTATCATGGTTTTTTTATGGTTCGTCGTTTACATGGGAATACGTATATTAAAACTTGTGGTTAGCTTTATTCTTAGAAATGGATAGTAAATTAGGTATTTATTATCAGAATGTACGGGGGTTAAGGACAAAGTGTATGGATTTTATGCAGGGTATATTGAGCAACGATTATGATGTTATGTTTATAACAGAGACGTGGTTATATGACGGCATAAAGGACCGGGAGTTGGCTGATAATAATAGGTATACGGTATTTAGACACTTTAGGAATGTGAAAGTAACAGGGGAAACATAGGCGGTGGTGTTATGATGCTTGTTAAAACTAACTTAGACCCTACTTTCATTGAGTGCCACTGTCCCGAGCAATAGAAAACTTGAGTTTATTGGGACTAAATCAATAAATATTAAAAATTACTACAACAACATATTCGACTTGACTTTTTCGAATCTGGAACTTAGTACTAACACTTGTTTGGTTCCTTTCATTAAAATAGATAAAGCGCAGCCACCAGTAATATTAGACGTTTACGATTTAATAGTACTGCCGCACTCCGAAGCGCCGAAACAGAAACGTGCCTTCGGACGGGGTAACTATTGCAAATAAATTCTGCTTTAAATAAGGTAAATTGGATTTCACTTTTTGAGAATTGATCCACCGAAAAAGTTACCAGTATAATATATACATATATACGAGTCTATCGAGAAATAGGTATCACTGATATGAACATCGGGTCTTCACACTTATCCTGTGTGCTATAATAGGGCACTGAAACTTATTATTAAGGAGAAATCTAAAGCTCACTCAAAATGGAAAAAAATGGTAACAGGACTAGGATGATTTTTCGCTTTTCCGTACAAGACGACGTCGTGTGCAAGCAGTGTGTTTTATAAAGTACTCCTGCAATATAGAAAATATCCTTAAAAAAGTCCCCGAAAGTTTTTTGATCTTATATTAAAAATATGCGAGGGGGTATTCCTGCTACACCAAAACACTCACATATGAAAATAAAAGTTACCTGGAAGGTAAACTTATTTGCGAGACTTTTAACAAGTTTTTTCAAAGCGTATTTGGCCAATCTTTGCATGAGAATCTTGATAGAAATAGGAAAAGGGACGATGGTTATTTTTTTTTTTTTTTTTTATTTTGAATACAATTACTCCATAGGCGTATGCCCATGCCATTATTTAGTTTGACTTTTTTAAGTTTTGTTATATTATACATTTGTTTGTGCACTCAGTGCGGCCTTTTATATTTAATCATGCAAACATGCGGCATGCTCACTTATGTCTACTTAACTAATAATATTAATAATATAATTTGGACATATTGTCCATCCCCTTTTTAATAAATATTCTATTATATGTATACGCTTTTTTTAATTTTTTTTTTTTTTTTTTTCACTTATTATCCGAGTTTCGCTATCTTTTTGGTAATTATTTAAATTTATTCGTTTCTATGGTACAACATTTACTGCTATGTTTTGCTAAATAACTTAAGTCTACTTGTTTCCTTAATCTATGTTAGTACATGTTTGTGTTATTTCCTTATGGTAAAAGGGACGATGGTATCAACTTTATATCTTCCCTCCAAATTAATACTAACTTTATTGAAGGGCCACGACGAAACAAAAGATGCTGGCTATGAGGCTATCCCCTCTCTTTTGGAAAAACTGTGCGGAGTCGCTTGCTTTTCCGGTATCTTTTCTGTTCAATCTTTCTCTTAGAGAGGGCATATTTCCGGATATCGGGAAGAGAGCCCACATTGTCCCAATTCATAAAAAGGGATCCAAAATAATGGTAGAAAATTATAGAAGGATATCAATTTTATGCACTATCGGTAAAGTTTTTGAGCAAGTAGTCCTCAAAGCCCTATATCCTATTTTCAAGCAAGGCGTATCCTATAAACAACACGGCTTTCTTAAGAACCGCTCCACCATCAGTAACTTGGCGTGTTTTTCAAATGACCCTTTTCAAAGTATAAAAAAGGGGGGGCAGGTTGATGTGATCTACACGGATTTCAAAAAAGGTTTCGATCGCGTGGATCACATCATCCTGCTAGAAAAACTTTACACGCTGGGTATTCGTGGAGATCTTCTTTGCTGGATCAAGTCTTACTTGACCAATCGATCTTAATCAGTTGTCGTGGGTGGATATAAATCGGACCTAGCATATATTCTAACTGGCATTACCCAGAGCTCCCACTTAGGCCCATTATTCTATAACGCAATTGTTTGGTATCTGCCCATCATCTAATGTACGCGGACGATGAAAAAATATTTTGTAAGATTTGTAATGATTTTGACTGTGCTAATCTGTAGTTTGATTTAAATAATTTGTACAATTACTTTAAAATGAATAGGATTACCGTTAATACCTCAAAGTGCAATGCATCAGCTTTATTTGTAGAAGGATACCAATTACCCACAGTTACAATTTCAATGACACTCCCATCGAAAGGAGTATAGTGGTATCGATTCTGGCATAATTCTCTGGGCCTAGGATTGACTTTGACGGCAGTGTGTCCCTTCCATTCTCTATACAGAGTGAAAGGGATACTGGTGTTGGATTTAGGTTTGGGGAAGCATACCGTGGTTGACGCCGATGTATGTATATATATATACAGATATATATACAGATATATATATATATATATATATATTTTCTAGATATTTTTTATAATGTGTTTATATATTTATGTTACCACATTATGGTTGTTCCCATCCTTGTTAATCTTATCATGGTGTCGATTCTGGTAAGGTTTTCTAGGCCCAGAAAGGCCTAGAATTAGATTGCATTTGGTGGCGGAGTATCCCTATCATTCTCTACACAAAGGGAAAGGGAGAGGCTGATGTAAGGTTTGGTTTAGGGTATGGAGAGCCATGCCAGTGTCGACACCAAATGTCTTCTTTCTTTTATCTATACTTATAATAAATCTGTAGAGAGGTCAATTCTGTACATGAAATATATTTTCAAAATAACTATCAGGGGGTGATTAGTGATCGATACTGATGCCAATAATGCAATCAGTAAATTTTTTGTCTGTCTGTCTGTGTGTATGTTCCTTATAGAAACAAAAACTACTCGACGAATTTTAACGAAACTTGGTACAATTATTCTTCATACTCCTGGGCAGGTTATAGTATACTTTTCATCACGCTACAATCAATAGCAGCAGAGTAGTGAAGGGAAATGTTGGGAAAACGGGAGAAGTTACTCCATTTTTTAAGCTTCCGTCGCGTGTGCAGCCTTAATGGTTAAAGTTACATAAAAATCATGTATGACGGAAATATTCTACATAAAATTGTCTAAAAAATATCCCGCAACAGCATATGGCTATCTTTTATGGTTGACTCACAATAACACGTGTAATTATATAAATAAAGTCATTGTTTATAGCACAAGCCTGAGAACAAAAACTATAGTTTACACTACAGCTCTACACTGAAGCGAAGCGAGGGCGGGCCGCTAGTAATGAATATATTCTCAGATTGGCTTCTTTTTACCACTCTGCTGATGCTTTGTAAGAGGGAAACCTATAATTAGCCATACACTTTTAAGTCAAAACATTTTATGTTAAGTAATTGCAAAACGCTGTTGGTTTTCTTAATATCAATAAATAAAATAAAATAAAAAAGCTTCTTCAAGGCTTTCTGATCTCATCATTGACACCCTAGACCTTGCACAAACGGTTTTTATGTAGTTTTTAGTGATAATACTACGAAAATAAAAAATATGATCATCGTTTTTCTTTACATTTTACAGCAGCGCGTCTAGCAGAAATTGTAACTACAATCAGAAAATATTTGAGATAAGACGAGACGATCGTTGTACGCAAAAAGATTGACATCGGGCATACGTACACTCGGGCTGCTGTGTGACTTGTCATCGCCGAAGCTGTCGGTGGAGTTGTGGCTCTGCCCGCTGGAGGCACTGGAGGTACGCTCGCGTGCCGCTCGCGCCCACGATTCGAGCCGCTTCTGCGCCGCCCACACGCCCGGCGGGCCCAGTCCGCTCATGCCGACTATCCTCTCATCACTTCCACGACCACTTTTAGCCGGTTCACTTTAGGTTTCGTGAAGAGTTTGAAAACTACGATCTATATGGTTTACACTAGCAGCGTCTTTTTCAGTACTAAAATTGATTAGACTGTTTGGATTTGTATTCACTTCCACAGTCACTTTAAAAGAGTTAACTTTTGTATAGTTATTTGTGTAGGTATAATGTTATTGAAAACTTTTTAATGTAGGTACTGAGTATCGTTGTAAGGTTTTTCTATGGGTATTTATTGCGGTTAATTTATCTAAAAATATTTACTTGTCTCTGTTAAAATTTGGACTAAACTGAATAAGTTACTGAACCGATTAGCGATACAAAAAGCAATAAAAGATATAAATGCTTTCACTGAATGATAAATATTTGAACCTTTGATTGAAAATTATTTGAGATTCAAATTCAACGGGCCCAAAACCTCCGGACTGTAAAAAAAAAGTAGTTTGACCAGATGCGTAATTATACCGTTCTGTTCTCCAGCTCCTCAACTGTGATTGTGAAAATCGAGATAGCACAGATACGTTACTGTACTATAGAGTGGCATTTCATTTCCGTCATTGCATTTGGATCGCGTAGGCTAACGTTGTCTGCACGCTGCACATGCAATGGAGTCTATTTGTTTTATAGATACAAGGGCGGATCCAGCTTTGGCGCCAGGGGGGGGGGGGGTTATATAGCCAGCTTTGGCGCCAGGGGGGGTCATATAGTTGTGGTATATTAAATATTGAAAGTACTTAAATAAAATCCCCCTGGGTTTGGTCCATCTGTACCCAGCCCAGGGGGGGGGGGGGGTCATGACCCCCATGACCCCCCCCCCTGGATCCGCCCTTGTACAGATATTGCATGATTTGGCATACTACTACTTCTAGTTTCCGATAAGTAAGATATTCTTAGTTTTGTCTTCATTATCTGACACCGGCGCTGTTCCGCTGAAGGTGCTACTATGAAATATATAGAGATTCTGCTATCGGATACCAAGAAAACTAGTACACTTAACTTGAAGTCCATGACAACAGTTAGACCTTTATATTAGTATATAGCAAAATAGGCGATATTCCTAGAGCAATGTCTCTAATGCTATCACCTAGGCAAAACAAGATAAGGGCATGATTGCATTAAAGAGGTCAAAATTTGTCCCAAGGTTTATGAACTGATTTCGTTGTCTGCGCAGCTTCTGCAAGCTAGTGGGTGTGTGCTACTGCGTGGGCGCTGGCTGATCGTACTACGACCGAAACGACAGACGGCGAGGTGGGCGTTTGTTTGTGCACCGTCTATACTGCTCACAGAAATGTTTAAAACTAATTACGTAGTAAAACTAACACACTGGAAAACGTTAACGACCACACCCAAGCATACATTGGCGGTTAACGAAAGTTTACACTGAAACTCAAGAGAATCTAATTCGATTTTTGTTAACGACAATACACATATGCAATTAAATATTAAAATGGTTCCATTCATCGACGTAAGTGGCATAAAAGGGTGCTGGGTGGGTGTACCGAAAGCGAAATGAAATGTTAATGTTATTACAACATCATCATCAAAGTTAATCAAAGTTGGGTCTTAATTGTAGGACAGAGCTGTCGCAAACGCTTTTATGTTCTTCGGGAGTAAAATGGAAACTGTAACCGCCTCGCTTAGTGGATATCAGCGGGTTTCGACCGCACATGAATAATAAGAGGGTAACACTTCGTCTTAATAAAGGAGCTAAGTAGTGGTCGTGTCAGTCAATTGATTAACTCACGTCAGAGACTGTGATTGAACTTTGTATATATGGTGTTCTTTCGATGACGTACACAGGTAAATATTACGGTCACTGTTATAGATTTTTTGTTATTTGCTTTGAGTCGGACGGAGAGCCGAGTATTGCGGGCATTAGTTGATTGTAACATTGAAGTAGTTAGATGTGCTTCCAAAAGGTTCGGGCGGAAGTACATTTTAACAAAAAAAGACTCAAAGTAATAATTGAGAAATGGAACAAAGTCTTTGAGGATTTTCATTTCATTACAAGTAACGGGTAGGAATTTCGAAGCGTACCGAACACAACACAACTAGGGGCCTACATTACGTTATAAACAACATGAGGTTTGTATGAAAATGGGCTGCGACATGTGCTGGGTTCGTAAACGCTTAACAGACATTTGAAGCGTTTATGTTTGCATACCAAACACCAAATTTCTAGGAGGGAGGTGTCACTTAGAACAGCTCACAAAAGAATGGATTATTCCTATAATATACGTAGCATAGAAGTCGGGGTGGCACGGGATTACGGGCTAACTGTTGCGCTAAGAGTATTCCCGCAGGAGAGATCATTTCTACGAGATTGCGTATTTATTCAAATTTTCATTTTGACCGAGCAAACCTTGATTATAAAATGAGCGTTTATTTAATGAACGCGTGCACAATACAGGTATAGGTTCCATATCTTTAGAATTGGATCGTTAAGTAATTAATCGTTGATCGTTAAGTCGTTGATTGCAGGATTTTGATTCGTATTTTTTATCGACATTACACACTTAAACTGACATATTTAATAAATCCTTCACAGTTTTTAAAACTACTTACGATTGGAAACTACAAATATATGATATAAATTGTAAATTATCACTTTGGACGTGGTTGGCAGATTTATGTGTTAGTTTAAATTATTGCACGTTAAATAGGGGAGATAGGGGTTATATATGTACAGTGGAGAGACGCGTGCCGAGCCGGGCGGTCGGCGCGGTGGTTCGCGCAGACTGCCACCCGGGGGCCGGTGGAGCCTCTCCCGCGGCCTTCCCGCGCTCCACGGATCACCACCCGTCCGAAATTCTCTGGACTTGTCCTACTTTTCAAGAATTTGGGAATAACCATATTTCGCGTGACTGACCTTCAATAGAATCGTAGAGTTACGATTCAAATTTAGGCTATTACACACTATCAAGATTGTATCTTTGGTGGTGCCTAGCGAATGCTCATAACAGATTCAGGCGTTTATATTTATTGTTATGTTAATTGCTTATGGCTGATGGGTATTACATTTTGGTATAAAAATTACACAGATAATAGACTTACATAAATAAGCATTCGAGAAAATAAAAGATCCTAAAAACCATTGAATAGTTATAAAAGAAAACACCAGCATTTTGAAGAGTTGCCACTCAACCAGCGTTCTTACTATACCCATTTCCGCGACATTCCTCGATTTGCCCTTTTGGGTAAAACCAAGATGTGAAAGAAAATTTACGTCATTCGTATTAGACCGGAGAATATTATCTGCTGAATTTGGGTAATAAGTAAGAAATGGCGATATAATTTGCTGTACTAACCTACATTTCACAATAAAGAATTTGAATTTGACTTGGTTACGTTGACGCTCTGAATACTTATTGTTGGAGTATGGTCGAAATTAATAAAATCAATTTCTACCGTAGTATTGTTTATCTTAAATTAAATAAATATATGATTATCATAATAGTCTAAGTAAAAATCATCACAAAATTACAAATTGTACCGTAAAATGTTCCTACTTTGCTCCTATAGGGGTAATTATGCTCCAATTCTCTAAACTATTTTATCGCTCAATATGCCCAAATCGGTGTAACATTTCATTGAACTGTGAATGCACCCGCAACATCTTACATAAAAGTGGAAACACTGAACTGTAAAATTTTTCATCCGCAATTTTTTTCATAAGTCAGGTGCAGCTGTAGTGCAAGACCTTAAAAGTTATTTTTTTTTGTATCCGAAAAACCCACTTCTATCTTGAAATCTGCATAATGAATTAGGGTTATTATGTTTTCATTTTATTAATTATATAATCAGGTAAACGAATACGTAAATATTTCATTGGATTGCTGAGTTGGTCATAATCTAAACTCACATTTTTGGCGTGCTCATATTTTCTTTGGTACGATGGGGTAACCTTGCGCCTGGAGCAAAATAAACCCAAACATAAACCGTTCTAAAGAAAACATTTTTTATTCTTGTAAGTACTTATTAATACACTTTTTATCAAAAAAATTACAATAATAACTAAAGAAGGGAATATGTGTCTTTAATGAAAAAGTCGTTAAAATCCTAGACGTGCCCTAAACCTGTCGATGAAATTCAATAAGATTGGCATGATATATAGCGATGTATTGATGTCCCTTAAAAAAATTAGTACCCGCTGTGAAATATATTCCGTTCCTGAACTGACCGCTTTGGGGGTTATTTTTTAATTATAATGTTTAAAGTTATGTTTTTATTTATTTTTAAGCATTTAACTGCTAGATGTTTAAATCTAAAGAAAAGTTTACTAGAAAAATAAATCCACGCGGACCAGGCAGCGGACGGGACTCGAACCCGCACCCTTCGCAATCCGGGCGAATGCACTGACCATTATGCTAACACGGCCCTATTAGCCGCGTCGAATTTTCCTAGCCTTAAGCTGCAAGGCAGCGCCATCTCTTCGCATTTTGGGTTACCTACAATGCGAAGAGATGGCGCTGCCTTGCAGCTTAAGGCTAGGAAAATTTCGACGCGGCCAATAGGGCCGTGGTAGCATAATGGTCAGTATAATGTTTAAAGTTTTAATTTTTGTGAAGCTTATCTCGTTAGTTTATTTTCGACTGATTTTTGTCCAGCATTTGTAAACAAAGTTTCTAGTTAAGATAGTAGTACCTATTATAATTTAAGAATATAAATAATAAAAACTAATGAAACAAAGTGATTTTGTAACTAAATTTAAGAATATATAATTTATTTCTTTCAAAACACGATTTCTCTTAATTTTTACCCATTTTTCGACCATTGATACTATCAAAAAAGGTAAAGCGTAATATTACTGGAGCATGGTTTGATTAAGGAAAGCATAACTTTGCTCAAAAGGCTTCTACAATGGAGATTGTTTGTGGAATATACCCAGGAGCAAAGTTACCCATGACCACGGGTAACTTTGCTCCTTATTCATAGTTTTATATATATGATAAAATACTTCATCACGTTGATTTAAAAAAATGTTAGATAACATATTATTCTTTAAATTAATACACCTGAATATATTTCATAATTAATAGTGTAAACAATATTCATAATTCCCTTTTTTTGGAGCAAATATTAGAGCAAAGTAGGACCATTTTACCGGTACTTATTAAATTAAAGAAGAGCAGCATGAAGTTTGATGAATAAAAGCAAAGAGTAACATTTATAATCAAATAAATTAAACATATAAGAGAATACTGACATGTCTGGCAATTGTAGTAATTTTATAAACAACAGTTTTCAAAAAAAATTTGCAGTTATATGCAATCTGAATTTGTGTTTTCAGTAGGTCTTCCTGTAATTGTCTGCCTCCAGGTCCGTGGTTATACGTGGCACATAGTTAAGACTAATTGCATGTCATTAGTAGCGGGATTACTCTCGTGCCCTGCAGGTTCTACGCGGCCGTGGTC